GGAAAATGTTGATTCTTTTCTGGGTACCTTAATAACTTGTTCATCACATGAAAAACTATCCTTCCTGGAATTCTGGTCATTTCTTCAGGCAACCAAGGGTAAAATATTTGTACAGGAACAGGTAAGCTTGAGACATTATTTACAACTTAAAGACTTAAAACCTAGTAGCTTAAAAATATTGTTTTTTTTTTAAACAACTAGTTTACATGGCCCTTTATGCTTGGCCAAGTTTTGAATATCAAAACTTCAGATAGCTTCTAGTATATAGACTCAAAAGTCAAGAAACATACTGAAATGACTTGATTCCTTCTTCCGGAACCTTAATCAGCTCTTATGCTGTTTTGGCTTTTGACATTTGTTGACATTCTTTCTAGAATGGAACAGCCTTCTCAAAGCTTAATCTGGTTAGTTTTATGTCATCAAGTTAGTACTATAGTTCACTGCTGCTCAGTTCCTTTGACCAGAAAGCTAATGCATAGGTTCTTTATCACCTGTTTCACTGTTCACGGTTCCTCCCTTTGTTGCCATGCTAACATCATATTGATCCAGTAGTAAAAAAACTGAATGTGACTGTTGGAGCTGAGGTAAAGGGTATTCACTAAGTTGTTTATGCCATGCATCTATTCTGTACTTATAGGAAGGTATTACAATTAGTAAATATTTTTTAACATAATTAGCATTTTTAGTTTAGATGATGGCGGTGTAATTTAATGTCATTACATTCAATGTATTTATGATGAAGACATTAGCTACTGAGAAGAGATCCACTTTTGTATATCAGAGCAACTTTATTTAAGAATTTCCTTTTTTTTTTTTTTTTTTTACTACTAGCACAATGTTTTACTGAAATGTAAACTTTGTTCAGACCTGACAAATTTGTGTGGTTAGGTCTCTCTCAATCTCACTCTCTCTCCCTCTCCTTCTCCCTCTCCCCTCCCCCCCTTTCTCTTTCTCTTTTTCTCTTTCCAAACTCAGCCAATTATCTAGGCCTGGGGCATCTGAGGGCAATGAGGAACAGGTGTCCAAAGGAGAAATGTTGGTGACTGAGTATATTTTCCAGATGTATTGAATTTCTTACTTGGTGTATTTTTGATCTGTCTTATTTTCTTTCCTACTTGTGATCTATATTATTTTGCTTGCTATTTGTTGAATATTCTGTCAGTCATTCAAGAGTTATAAAATGGAAGTATTTCTACACAAATCCTTTATGAATGATGCTGATATGTTTAGCATTGATTTCTGCCACAGTCAAGAAAAGTGAAAGAGACAAATGTTTTTCTTTGACTTTGGATGTTTTGGAATCTAGGATGTATGACCTTTCTTATAAATGTTTTAGTCAAGAGCCTTCTTCAGGACTGGGAGTGTGAGTTAGTGGTAGATTGCTTGCCTAGCATGCATGAAACCCTAGGTTCGATTCCTTAATATCACGTAAACAGAAAGAGCCAGATAGTGCTATGGCTCAAGTGGTAGAGTGTTAACCTTGAGCAAAAGAAGCTCAGGAACAGTGTCTACACCCTGAGTTCAAGCCCTAGGACTGGCAAAAAAACAAAACAAAACAAAAAAAACCTTCTTCAACTATCAACTACTTCTGTCTACCCAGGGATATGAGCATATTTGTTCTCTGTTCTTTTGGTCTTTGCTGTTCCAGTTGTCAATGAACTTAAGCAGTATTTATTCAGAAGAAAAAAAATCTTCATTGTTTCTTCCTCCTTACTTTGCCAGTTAAAACAGACATAACTAGTGATGACACAAACACCATTTCCAACCACATGTGCCACAGGCAAGTGGCTGTAATCATTTAGTATGGTTATCTAGTTCAGGAAGAGGAGAGCCCTTGTTCTTTTTTCCTAGAGAAGCTTGGGGATTTTTCTGGTTGAGCAGGTTGGTAGTAGGAGAGAGTTCAAAGGGAACATTTGTTTTGGGCCAATGTTTTTTGTTTTTGTTTTTGCCAGTCCTGGGGCTTGAACTCTAGCACTCTTTTACTTGAGCCATAGCACCACTTCTGGCTTTTTCTGTTTATGCAGTACTGAGGAATTGAACCCAGGGCTTCAAACATGCTAGACTAGCACTCTACCACTAAGCCACATTCCCAGTCTACAATCTTGGTTGTCACTACAATTTGTTAATTGTTCTATTTTTTTTAATGAAATTTATTAACTAGCAAGTTTGAATTTCTTCTAACTAGATATTCTTCTAAAAGTATTGTGTTTGATTGGTTTTGGCTTGTTGAACAGTCTTACCTAGGAATAGGGAATTGACAACAGAAATTGCTTTCTTTTTTTAGGTTCTAAAGTCTGTATTCCAGCCTCTGTATTCTCAGGGCTTTAAAATCTTTTCCTAACAAAGAAGGAAATACTCTGTTGCTTTCTAATATTTGCTACAAGTTGTCTTTAGAAAGACAAATTTTTTGTGTGTTGGTTATAGGGCTTCTTGAACTCTGGGCCTGGGTGCTGTCCTTCAGCCCTTCCTCAGCTCAAGGCTAGCGCTCTACCACTACCACTTGAGCCACAGCGCCACTTCTGGTTTTCTGAGTGGTTTATTGGAGATAAGAGTCTCATGGACTTTCCTGCCCTGGCTGGCTTTGAACAGTGATCCTCAGATCTCAGCCTCTTGAGTAGGTAGGATTACAGGTGTGAGCTATCAGTGCCCAGCTTAGAAAAACAAATTTTAATAGGAATGGAATGTTCCTTTGTGATATGTCCTTTGGCACATTTACTTTTTGGAGCTCTCTGGATGGATAGGAGAAAGCACATTCTTCTTTTTTTTTTTTGGCCAGTCCTGGGGCTTGAACTCAGGACCTGGGTAGTGTCCCTGCTCTGCTTTTGCTCAAGATTAGCACTCTACCACTTGAGCCACAGCGCCATTTCCAGCTTTTTCTGTTTAAGTGGTACTGAAGAATTGAACCCAGGGCTACATGCATGATAGGCAAGCAGTCTACCACTATGCCGTATTCCCAGCCCCACATCATCTTGAGAGAAAGTGTGATGGCTAAGTAACTGGCCCCAAGCCTCTGTACTGAGTTCCTAGCCCTAAGGTTAATGAAACAATAAAAATATTTACTTAGCATCTGTTGCATTTTAGGTACGTCCTAGGAATTTTTATAGACTTTTATCATTTAGTCCACAGGTTGCCCTTGTGAGATAAATATTTTGCTCTGATTATTTAGATGAGGAAACTGAGGCCCTGAAAAGTTATGATATGTCATACATACTTGGTATGGAGAGCAATCTGAACAGAAAACAAGTTGGGAGTCTGACTTTTTTTTTTTGGTCTTGGGACTTGAACACTGAGCCTGAGTGCTGTCCCTCAGCTCTTCAGCTCAAAGCTAGGGTTCTACAACTTGAGCCACAGCACCACTTCTGGTTTTCTGGTGGTTAATTGGAGATGAGTCACATGAATATTCCTGCCCTGGCTGGCTCTGAACAGTGATCCTCAGATCTCAACCTCTTTTTTTTTTTTTTTTTTGTCGGTCGTGGGGCTTGAACTCAGCCTGGGCGCTGTCTCTCAGCTCTTCAGCTCAAAGCGAGCGCTCTACCACTTGAGCTACAGTGCCATTTCCAGTTTTCTGGTGGTTTATTGGAGATAGGAATCTCACGGTCTTTCCTGCCTGGGCTGGCTTTGAACCGAGATCCTCAGATCTCAGCCTCCTGAGTAGCTAGGATTACAGATGTGAGTCACTGGCACCCAGTTTGGGAATCTGACTTTTGTCAGATATAGGTACAACACAGTTTTTACTTAAACACCAAATATTTTAGATATTCATCATGTCTGAAGGTAACACCATTAATCCATTCACAAAAAGTTGATTTTAATTACTAAGTTTACTATCTATAGATATTTGTAGTCATTTTGTCTGGATCTTATCATGAGGTCTGTGGAAGAAGGCCTGAAGAGAGGGGCTCATTACGGTTTAAAATACTGACTTTAAATGTAGATATACCTTAGCCAGGCACTGGTGGCTCACCCCTGTAATCCTTACTACTCAGGAGGTTGAGATCTGAAGATTGAAGTTCAAAGCCAGCTGGGACAAGAAAGCCTGTGAGACTCATCTCCAAATAAGCACCCAAAAAAAGCAGGAAGTAGAGCTGTGGCTCAAGTGGTAGAGCACTAGCCTTGAGAAAGAGAGAGAGAGAGAGAAATAACTCAGGAACTTAATTATATTTTTCTAACAGTGGAGCTGGTTGTTTTTGTTGATTTTGTTTTTAGGTATTTTCCTTCCAGAAAATATCCTGTTTAAAATTTCACTGGGGGCTAGGATGTGGCTCAAGCATTGAAGTGCAAATCCCTAGCATAGCAAAAAATAAAAATAAATCCATCTGACTTTAAAAAGTTGTTTATTTTTATGGGAGAGTTTGGGGAACAGTTCAGGATTTCTTTTTGTCTTATGGATAGAAATACTTGATCAGTTTTCCTCAAAAGTAAGACAGTTGTATCTTAGCTCTTTAATAATGAGAACTAGACTGTCTTCACTTGACTTCTACTTCCTGTTAGTGGGGAAACCCCTTTCCAGATGCTGTGAGAAAAACTAGAGGAAAGGAATCCTAAGATTCCAAGATAAGAAACACAAGACAGTCCATAGTATTGTCATTAGAATAATGATATTCATTAAGTACTAGTTTTTCTAATCTTGAAGTTTCATTTTCAGCACAGTTGGAAAGACAATAGCTTCATAGGTGAAGGAGGTAAAATGAGGAGATGCACTATGGAGACCTTGAAGTGGGTATGTTAAGGCAGGGAAAAGACAACGACTGTTATCCACTGAATGAAAATACAAAGACATGCAATGTCCAAGGTCAGAGTAAGAACATAAAGATTTTTACCTTATGTTTGCATCTTAGTTTCCTCCTTAGCTTGCATGTATATATAAACTTAGGCTTCCTGAACCAATTTATATTTCTTTTCAAAATAAACTTAATGGACATTTATAGGAGACACAGAGGTCATTATAACAGTTCAGCTGAGTCTTAGAAACTATCATTTTCTGTCCCCTCCTGTCTTAGGCTGACCTTTTATCTCTCTGGTGTGTTACCTGCTTCTACTAATCCAAACCACAGAATTCATTCATCTCCAAAGTCTCCAGGCAATATCCATTGGGGGAATCAGCTCTAAAAGGAACCATACCAATGATTTCCAGCCCCTTCATTCTGGTGACTGATGACAGAGTGGGAGGGGGATATGCTTGCATAGTGAGTAAAAAAAGTGTCGATTTACTTTTTGCAAACATTATTTGTATTGTGTATGTATTGGGGGGAGTTGGAAATGTGACCTTCATTAGAAGTGTCTGGAAGAGAAAAAATGGAAGAGGTAAGACAAGAATCAGTTGGTTTTTAAAGATATTAAAGTCTTGAAATAGCATGCCCATCTGAGAAATCTTTAAAACAGAGTTTATAAAAATACCCGTTGATATAACCACACTAATACAGATTTCTTGGCCTGGAGACACTTGTTTAATAATAGCTTGTCTCTGATATTCCCAGTAGCTACCTCTATGTAAGGAAAGGATAGAAAACATTGACAACATCCTAAAGGCTCCTGATCCTACAAAGTTCCAGTAGCAGTGATGCCTACACTGAAGACTTGAAACTGCACACAGAGTCTGGGGTCACCTCAGGGACATCTCTTGACGCTGTCCAACCAGAAGTTCGATGCTTGTTTTGGGGGGTGAAGAAGGAAGCAGACTGTACTAAAGGACTAAAAGAATTTCATGTCAATACTTTCCTGTTTGTTTTTATTGCCTCTTTTTCTGATGGGAAAGGAGGGGTTTTCGGGTGTAATTTCACATCGTATGTGCAGAGGAGGATGGGGAAGCTCAGCCCTTCACCCAAATATAACCCAGACTTGACATCTCTGCGCGTGGGAAGTGTTTCCCTCCTCACTGGGAGGATCTGAGGCTGCACCCAGTGGGATTTCCCGTTCGGGTGAGGAGGCGATTCAGAGGGCGATGGCTTATCAACGAGAGCAGAGGGCTTAGCCGGCCAGGAATGACACGCCAGAGGGGAGAGGCACGGGAGGCGAGCGTCCCCCAAGGCGGAGGTGGCGGCTGTGCAGCGCGTGGGTGACTGCAGAGCCAGGTGGCCGCCGCGGCCTGTGCCCTCCGCCGAGGTTCGGATAGGGTCCCTGCGCAGCCGGACACTGGAGTCCGAGTCACCAGAGAGCGCCCGCGGTGCCCAGTGGGCCAGCGCCAGACCCTGGCGTCCTCCATCTTTTCTCCTGCGCTCCCCCTGCTCCAGCTGCCTGAGCCACGGACCGCAGCACCACACACCCCCGCGGGGGGGGACGCCGCGCCCCGTCCCCGCCCCCGGCCCCACCCCAGCCCCCCCGCGGGGGCTCTGACCCCACCGCCGGCGGGCACTGGCTGAGCTCCAAGGCGGCCGGCCGGCGGCTGGGACGCCCGGAGGGGGTCGGGGCCACTGGGGGCGGCGGCGGCCGGGCCGGGGCTCCCCCCCCGCCCGCGCTCGCCGCCGCGGTGGTGCGTCCCGGAGGTTACCGGAAGTGGCCGCGCTCGGCGCTGCCATGTTGAGGAGCCGCCGCTGCCGCTGCCGCCGCCGCCGCCGCCGCCGCTTTGTTGTCGCCTCCTCCGGCTGAGGAGGCTCCCCGAGCGGGGGGAGTGGGGAGGAGGGGGGTCGGCCGCCGCAGCCATGGAGGCCAACTGGACCGCGTTCCTGTTCCAGGTACTGGGGGCCCCCCCGGGGGGGGGCGCGGGGGGGACAGGGGGGCCGGGCCCCGGGCTGGCGGGCGGGCGGGCGGGCGGGCGGGCGGGCGGGCGCTCCTCCCCTCCCTCCCGGCCCCGCGCTCCGGCCCGGCCTTAATCCCCCTTTGTTTTTCCGCCTGCCCGCCCCGGCGGAGCCCGGCAGCTGAGGTGAAAGGAGGCGGCCTCTCGGGGTGCGGTGGAGAAAGCAGGCCTTGGGGTGAACCCCGGAGCCCCCCCAGCCCACAAGCACGCGCGCACACACGCACACGCACACCCTTCCCGCCCGCCCTGAAGGGGAAGGGAGGAGGCCGACCGCTGTCACCACCCCGCGGCCCGGAGAAAGAAGGGCGCCGGGCCGCTGGAGAGCGCGGGCCGCTCGGCCCCTGCGCATCGGGCCTGGGCCGCAAGGTGGGGTGAGACCGGGGGGGGGGGGGTCCCCGATCCCGCTCCGAGTCGCCTCCCCCCGCACGCTCCGTCCATCTTTCCCCCGCGCTCCGTGTTCTTCACCTCCCTCTCCTCTTTTTGTGTGTGTGCTTGCGTGTTGACTTTCTGACCCTCCTCCCACATCCCGCGAATAGCGGGTATCCCCGGGTTCCCCGCCACTCCCCCTTCCCGCCGGTTCCCCCCCCCCGTGTTTACGCCGTGTGTGTATGGGGGGGGGTGCTGGGAGTGTGTCTGCCCTCCCCAAACTTTTTCACTGGGTCTCGATTTTGTGCCGTGCCTTGGCAGCTGGCACCCTCCGTCTTCCGTCCAGTCTCCCGCGCGTCCCATTCAGTCCGGGGGATCCCCGCAGCCGGGCCGGGCCGGGCGCGGCGGGGGCCCCGCACGGTCTCCTCGCAGCGCTCTTTCTCTCCCGGCTGGCTCCGAGGGCCCCTCCAGCCGAGTGGGCCGACGAGTGAGGGGAGAGCGCGGACCGAGTCCGCTCACAAAGCCCCAGATGAGTCACTCGTTGGCGTGTTGGTCCGCTCTTTCCGCGAGAAACTTAAGCGTGACCGTAGCGGGTACCTCGGCCGTCCTCTTGCCCTACGTCTTTGGGGGGGAAGATTCCTGTCTGGAGCTTTGCCTCACTCCCGCCCCTGGCTTCGTTTCTGTTTGCAAATGAAGCATTTAGTGGGCAGTCGCGGGGAGCTCGGAGAGAACCTGGGGAACCCGAGGAGGTTCGCAAACTTCTGCGTGCCTCCTTCCCCTCCTCTCTCGTTATTTTTCTCTCTTGGAGCATTTGGTGGACTCGCAGACGTGTGGCTTAGGCGCTTGCGACCTTTAGGCGCTAATGAGGAATGGATGTAGAATTAAAAAGTCCTTCCAGCATCTCTTGGCTCATCCCAATGGAAGCAAAATAGGGAAGGAGTTCAGAATTACTTGCTGTGTAGATCTGGTCTGTTTTATTAAGACATTTTTCAAATGTGGGCAGTTTGATTTTTAAGGAACTCGCATATATTGGGACTTGATAAAACTGAAAATTCTTAAAATTATGGAACCCATGGACTTTCCCCTTTTCTCATTCTGATCTCAAATTGCATGATTGTGCTTTGATGAATTTTTTTCCAACTTATGGAAATGTGTGAAAGCTAATATTTGATCCCGGTCTTGCAATGTATGCGGTGAAAATTGTTGGAAAACTTCTAACAGAGTTGAGGAGTTGAATAGAATATTATCAGTCTTTTCTGTGGAAAATATGAATAGATAATCAATTCTAACTAAGTAATTTTCCCTGAGAAATGTTGAATTAAGCTCTATTGTGTGTTTCCTGGAACATCCTGTTGAATTTATAGTTTTAAAATAATTTAATACCTGCTTGCTTTCCAGATAGCCTAGTGAAAAGTGAAAGTCATAGGTGTTAAAATGTTTGATGGATGATTTTCCTTACAGGACATTCAAGATATGAGTCACCAATGCTAATTTGTTTCAGTACAAAATCTTTTACCCTCTGGCACTGGAGATTTCATGATGCGGTAACCGACCACTCTGAGTGATGAAGTAACACTTCTGTTTTGCTTTTGTCAGTCTTAGAAATAAGGTAAAGCTTGGGCAGGACTAAAAAGCCGTTCTTGAGAGAGATAGGAGATAAAATGAAAAGTTTGATTTCATGATGCTAATCAAAAGAAATTTAGAAGTTATATTTAAAAAATAAATCCCTTAACTGAAGTCAGACCATGGTTGTTATTCTTTACTCTTGTTATCTGTTGTGAAAACTCAGTGCCCCTTTTAAAAAGACATCAATCATGTAGAAATATGGGGATCCTAGGAATCCTCAGTGATTTATTTTGGTAGAGGTTCTACGGCATTTTACTCAAGAAGTGGGAACTTGGTATGATCCTCATAAGAGAGAGCATAGCAATGTTGTAAAAATACTTTATGCTGTTACAGACATCTGAATTGGTAAAATGACAGTGCTTTTAGTATTTCATTATCCTAATGATTGTTTATGATTGAAAAATGCCTCAAAATGTTGTAAGTTTGAACTTTGTACAGAAGATTTGCATTTTAGACTATTTGACCTATTAGCCTTTGAAATTACACATCTTGAGCTATCTTCAGCTATAAAAGTTTTGCATGCTGTATTGAAATGGGTATTCTACAGCCAAGTTGGAAAAGAAAGGGGTAAGATTAGAGTCTGAATTCTATGAACTTTCTACTGAGGTCACTTGGGTGGTAGACTCTGATACTTATAAGAGCTCTACGAATCATATGGACTGTAATTTAGTGTTAAGTATTAAGTCTAGAAAGATATTCGTAAGTAATCAAACAACTTCTGAATGAACCTCCAGGATCCAAAGGATATTTAAGTCAGAATTATTAAATTGAAACCGATGCTTTGGATACCATATCTCCTAGTCATTGATGGAAAGTAGTTCCAGGTTCAGCTGTTTTATAGCTATAAACTTGAAGCAATGTGTGGTTGGTAGCCATCAGTAGAGGAGGTTGTATGTGTGGTTGTGTATGTGTGTATGTTTTCTTGTATCTCCCTACCTTTCTTCAATCAAGTTAGCTAATCAAGTGATTGTAGAGCCAGAGGGTAAATAATTGTCTAAAGTGTCTGAGATGATGGAGTGGGCTCTTCCTAGGATATAGTGTGCTTAATATACTTGGAATTCTTCTTAGTGCATATATCTTTTTAGGATTATAAAACAAACATAAGCTGGATGCTAGTGGCTCATGCCTATAATCCTAGCTACTTGAGAGCCTGAGACCTGGAGGGTTGTGGTTCTAAGCCAGCTCAGGCAGAAAAGTTCTTGAGACTCCCATCTCCAAAATAATGAGCAAAAAGAAAGGCTGGAAGTGTGGCTCAAGTGGTAGAATGCCAACCAAGCAAATGAGTTCAAATCCTGGTATTGACTAAAAATAAACAAAACACAACAACAACAAAAATCCCTCAAGCATAGGAGCTTGGGCTCACTGTCAAGAGAGTTTCAAAAACAATTGTGGTATAAAGAACATTAGGAAGAAGTATTTCAGGAATTGTTTCCATCATTTCCTAAATGTTTATCCATATGGATGTGTGAGAATCAAAACCAAGAAAATAACTATTCATAAATACCAAGAACCCAACCCACATTGAAATGTTGGTTTCAGTGCAGCTAAAGAAACTTTTCAGTGTCCAGTTTTGGAGTGGAGAAGCACATTATCATAGAAAATGTCTAGCGCTTTACCAAAAATCTTCAACTGCTGGAAGAAGATGGACATAAAAGGAATTTAAGTCTTTATAGTTTTGTTTTTCTATCTTGGTGAGTTTATAGAGTCTGAACAGCTAGTATTGCTAAAGGATACAGATTCTACTGGAGATTAAATGACCTGAAAAACAACTGCCAGGTGTTTTGCCATAGACTACCATCAGATGCCTTCCACGTTGATTAACAGCAGGTTTTGTTTCAACCAAATCTTTCAAAAGAATTAAGTGAAAACTTTAAAAATAAACAATTAGCATGTGCATTCAGATAACTAGATTCCTCTCATCACTTAGCAACAGCCCCTTTCTCAGTCACTAAGAGTTTTCTTCGGAGGAAGGGAGCAACAAGGATGCTTAAGAGATAAGAAGTAGAATTATTAGTGAGTGAGTGAGTGAGTGAGTGAGTGTGTGTGTGTGTGTGTGTGTGTGTGTGTGTGTGTGTGTGGTTGCTGTAGTAAGGTATGATAAATACTTAAGTCTGGAGTGTAATTTTTCTTGACATGTTACTTAAACTTGGTTTTGGCTCTGATAGACTAGTGCAAACTGATTTCAGCTGGTATGGTACTTATGAAGCAGGTAACTAAGCAAGTAAGCAACTTAAGTTGCAAAAGTTTTGTGTGTGCAAAGTAATTTTGAATGCTTTGTATTGGAAGCTTTGCGAGTTAACTAGATCTTTGGTGGATCTCTACTGCAGAAAATACCTCTTGGACTGTTGATTTCTAGTCTCTATGGTCTGGAGCATGTTGAATTTTGAAGGTCATTGTGAAAGGCTGAGTTTCTCAAGTGTAAATGTTTGGTTTTAGGCCCAGGAAGCCTCCCATCACCAACAGCAGGCAGCACAGAACAGCTTACTGCCCCTCCTGAGCTCTGCTGTGGAGCCCCCTGATCAGAAACCATTGCTTCCAATACCAATAATTCAAAAACCTCAGGCTGCACCAGAAACATTAAAGGATGCTATTGGGATTAAAAAAGAGAAACCCAAAACTTCATTTGTGTGCACTTACTGCAGTAAAGCGTTCAGGGACAGCTATCACCTGAGGCGCCACGTATCCTGCCACACAGGGATCAAGTTGGTGTCCCGCTCAAAGAAAACCCCCACTACAGTGGTTCCCCTTATCTCCACCATCGCTGGGGACAGCAGCCGAACTTCGTTGGTCTCAACCATTGCAGGCATCTTGTCAACAGTCACTACATCTTCCTCGGGCACCAACCCCAGTAGCAGTGCCAGCACCACAGCTATGCCCGTCACCCAGTCTGTCAAGAAACCAAGTAAGCCTGTCAAGAAGAACCATGCTTGTGAGATGTGTGGGAAGGCCTTCCGAGACGTGTACCACCTCAATCGGCACAAGCTCTCCCATTCAGATGAAAAGCCCTTTGAGTGTCCTATTTGTAATCAGCGCTTCAAGAGAAAGGACCGGATGACTTACCATGTGAGGTCTCATGAAGGAGGCATCACCAAACCCTATACTTGCAGTGTTTGTGGGAAAGGCTTCTCGAGGTACTCCATTTTGCTTTGCTTTTTCCATTGTGGTGTCAGTGAACTCTAGTTTTGTCTCTGGGATCTAGGTTTATATGAGAATAGATATGGGCAAACCTGTGTTATTGAAGGAGATTGGTGATATAAATATTATACCTTTAGGTCAGTTTGGTGTGGTTGACAAATGGTGACAGAGTGATTAACCTGTTATTTCATCTAAGAAGTGCCTTGATAGACTCAGGCCTTCATGTGGCGTATGGATACTTCTTATTTGCCAGTTTATAGACCATCAGTTTCCACCTGTGTTAGAGGACTAGAGATGAGGTTCACTGAGCAAATCAAAGGAACATACTTCCTGGAAGTTGGGATGACCTTGGATACTCACAGTACATTTTTCCATTTTTCTGTGGACATTAACATTTTATTAATCTTGAAATCTTCATTTGTGAAAGCTTTCCCAATTAATATAGTTAGTGGCAGGTATTCCTGATCCTGTTAGGTAGGACTAACACTTTTGAGTATTTTGTAATTCGAGAGTCAAGAACCTAATATCATTTGATGTTAACTAGGAGAAAAACAACAGCTAGAAGGACTGAGTTTTGTTTATGGTAAGAAAGGTAAGGAGACTTTGGGGAAGAGGGAAGAGTTGGTAATTCTGCTAGCTTTCTTTAAATTCCCCCCTCTGGTCTACCAAGCATAGAAGCATCACATAAGTAGCATTTCTCTGTGTGTGTTCCATTACATCTTCTGTTTGAAACTCTCTTTCACAGGCCTGACCACTTAAGCTGTCACGTAAAACATGTCCATTCAACAGAAAGACCCTTCAAATGCCAAGTAAGAGTTAAAATGACTTATCCTTAGTGTAGCACTTAATGCACAGTATCCAAAAGGTCTGAGCCAGTCAAATCTCACAATTCTTGAACAGTTTTCAAATCACTGACTCGAGTAAATGTGGTCCATTTGATTCTAGTTTTATAAAATATAAATGACAGCTTCTGTATAAGACAAGATCATTTAAAAATGTGTGTTATTTTTATTAAGCTATATTTCCCTTTCCTTGGTTAGCAGCATTTTTGGTATGAGAATATTTATAATCATGTGGAGATTGTTGTGAATTCAAAATGAATAAAAGAATGAAGAGTTTAAATGTAGGCAACAGTGAGACGTTGTTGGGGGGGGTGGAATGAAGAGTTTTAAATTAATTTTTGGGTTGATGGCTAAGGAGTTTTAAGTATAATAGAAATAGAGAAATTTTTTCCTGTTTTCATTGATTAGATTATTGTCTGCTGTTACCAAAATGGATAATTTTCTGGTTACTTGAAAATATGTTTAGATTAGTGATTTTACTTGACTTGTTATGGTAATGACTGTTTCAGTTTACAATTTTGCCATATCAAATGACTATTTTAGACATCACTAATCCTAGTTTGTTGCTGGAATTGTTCAGTGCTTTCAATCAGTTAAGTTTGTTAATAACTGGTTTTATTAAGTAAATTATTTGAGGTCTAAAAACAAAAAACAAAAAAACCTAATTGGAGGAAGGATGTTAGTATCTTTTAGTGTCTGCTAAGTGTGTCAGGCTCTTAATCCCCAATAGTTTTATGGTAGGTATTATCACCACTCTGCAGATAAAGAACATCATGTAGGTTAAGTAACTTGTTCAATATTAAACTGTTTAGTAAATTGTAAAGCTCAACTTAAATTCTCCCCAAAGAGAGAATCTAAAATTCACCAAGTGTTTTAGTATGATTATAACTCGCTAAGTAACATATACAATGGAAAGTCAACTAACTAAATTGACTTGCTGACATGAATAGAGTAATACACAGAATATAACGTACTTTAAAACGAGTAGAACAGGATAGTCTATATTTAAAAAAAGTTTTCCTCCCTCATGCAGACGTGCACTGCTGCCTTTGCTACCAAAGACAGACTACGGACACACATGGTGCGCCATGAAGGCAAGGTATCATGTAACATCTGTGGGAAGCTCCTGAGTGCAGCGTATATCACCAGCCACTTAAAGACACATGGGCAGAGCCAAAGTATCAACTGTAACACATGTAAACAAGGCATCAGTAAAAGTAGGTGATGCTTTAGAGGTAGTCTTTTACATTTCATATTCATAAAACCTAGATTTTCCTATAATAGAGGTATTTTGCTGTGTTCTCATGACTGTATTAATGTTCATTTAATATATTTCCTCCTGTCACCAGAATGGTGAATAGACATTAATAGAGAGAATGTGGTAGTGTCAAAGCTGTGCATTACATTCATGCATGCAAATTGTATTGATAACCTTTCCACTCTTTTTGTTTTCACCCTGTGCTTATCTAGTAATACCAATATAGCAGACTACAGCTATTTTTTCCTGTGTTCTTTTTTCATGTGGATTGAATAAAAGGCTCTACTGTGTTAGAATTGAGTCAACAGAGCCACATTAGGAAGCTTGTTTTATACTAGGTAATTTTACTTGTTAAACTCAGGAAGAATCTCAGGTATGTGTCTCCTAACTCCTGATTTTATTAATAAATGTCCCTAATAATAATAATTTTAAAGGTGTGAAGGTAGTGTTAAAAAGCTTGTTTTTCAGGAGGGCACCAGTGGCTCATACCTATAATCCTAGCTACATAGGGGGCTGAGATCTGAGGAATGCAGTTTAAAGCCAGCCCAGGCACGAAAGTCCATGAGATTATTTCCAATTAACCACTAGAAAACTGGAAGTTGTGCTTGTGCTGTGGCTCAGAGTGGTAGAGTGCTACCCTTGAGTGAAAAAGCACAGGGAAAGCTCCCAGGGCCTGAGTTTAAACCCCATTGCCAACCGGGGGAAAAAAGAAAAAGAAAAAAAATGCTTCTTTTTCAAACCCAAACCTTTAGCAGAACAGGGTATATCATAGTCATTTAAAGGTTTAAATACTTTGCTTGCCTTAAGTTTAGAGATGAAGAGCAAATATTCCAGAGACTTAAGGGTAAATTTTAATATTTTGATTTTACCTAGGCCTCTTTTGGGGGGTTACTCTAACCACTAGATTAAGAGTGAGGAACCTCTGGCCTACAGGCTATATAAATCCATGAAGTTATTTGTTACAGGACAGGACACATAATTCTTCTGATTGGCTGCCTACAGCCCATCTGTCTATAATTTTATATGGCCCGTGATACTATGCATACTCAGACGGCCTTTCTTGAAAAAATGCTTCCCTATTTCTGCTAGAAGAATGTAGAAAGTATTTTCCTAAAATTCTGTATCTTACATATAGATTGCATGTGACAGAAATATCCAACTCTCAAAAAAAAAAAAAAAAAGGCTCAAGTGGTAGAGCGCTAGCCTTGAGCTGAGGGACAGCGCCCAGGCCCAGAGTTCAGGCCCCACGACTGGACCCCCCCAAAAAAAAGGTAGCCATGGATGGCTTAAATGAATGGGACAGAAAGCTTAATGTGTTTTAATCTCATCTCCTTTTGTTAGTACATTGAATTATCTGCAGTGTCATACTTTAAAATTTATTTTTAGCATATATTACTGTGGTTAAGTATGCGAATATATTAGTATAATGAATATTGAGCCCATGATAATATTACCTGTCTTCCACTGTGTGTGTGTGTGTGTGTGTGTGTGTGTGTGCACGTGCACTAGGTATGGGGCTTGACTCGGGTCCTCAATTTTGCTCTACCATTTGAGCCACAGCTCTCCACTTTTTAGGACACTTATTGTTTTAATGTAGCAAACAATTATTTTCTTCTTAATATTGGTTTTCCTTAGGTCTCTACATTTTAAAATGCACTACTTTATTTTGATCAATGGAGACACAAGCAGATAAAAACAGCAACGTAGTAAGAGGCATTAAATAATAAAATTCATAGACATGAGGAATCAAAAGTATCTTAAGTTTGGGGTTTTGAAGAATTAGCCATACATTTTCAAGCTAAACACAGTGTTTCTGGTTTGTTTTGTAATATATAGCATGTATGAGTGAAGAGACCAGCAATCAGAAGCAGCAGCAGCAACAGCAGCAGCAGCAGCAGCAGCAGCAGCAACATGTGACAAGCTGGCCAGGGAAGCAGGTAGAGACCCTGAGATTGTGGGAAGAAGCTGTCAAAGCACGAAAGAAAGGTAAGATGGAGATTTTAGTGCTTTAGGTGTGACTGGAGACATGTTTTCATGTAGTATACAAAATGATCAAAGGAGAGAAACGTTATGGAAACATGTAAATGTTACATACTGGGAAATATCTGATCAAGTTTAGTTGCAGCAAGCCAAGTTTTTATAAGGTAAGTTTTTATAACTAGGAAATTAAAATTCTCAGTATTTTCTGTTCTTTTGATTTTGTTACAAATTTGAGGTAATATTAATCCTTTGTTGTGAAGGATTAATGCCAGCTTCCATGCATTGTGGGCTCCTTTTTTATTTCTAAACTATTCTCAGTTGTAGAGGTAGGTGAAATATACTTGTCTTTACGTAAGTAACTTGGGTAACTTGGGTTATCTTCTGCTTTTTTAATGATCTTTTCCACATTGGATTATTTAGTACATGATTCATTCTCTACTTTCTGCAGTTTTCTCTTTTGATCTTACCCTTGATGTCCTTCAGTTTATTACAGGGGCTGCTTTTAGCTACACCTGTCTGCACCTCTATTAATAGAGACTTTACTATATTTATTACAAAGTTCAGAATTTCTCTGTATATCTTACAAAGAATTAATCTCAACATGCTTGTCCACTTACTAGCTACAGCTTTAACTTATAGGTTACTGTGCAGCCATTTCAAATGAATCATTTTGTTACTATACTATCAGTCGTAGGGCAGATTCCTGAATTCTTTCCCTCCTCCTCTAGCCCTGCTGTCTTACTCCTTGATTTTATTTTTAAATTTCTATCTGTTTTATCTATTTATTTATTTACTCTGTGCCAGTTTAGGGGCTTGAAGTTAGGGCCTGGATGCTTTCCCTGAGCTTCTTTTGTTCAAGGCTAGTGCTCCAGCACTTGAACCACAGCTCCACTTCCAGCGGCTTAGTGGTGGTTAATTGGAGATAAGAGTCTCATGGACTTTCCTGCCCAGGCTGACTTCAAATGACAATCCTCAGATCTTAGCCTTCTGAGTAGTTAGGATTATAGGCATGAGCCACCAGTGCCCAGACTACCCCTCTATTTTAAAGTCTAAGAGATCCTCTGTGAGTAGTTTCCTCTATATGTAATTCTATTACTTTGTAGTTAGTGTCTTCCTTCCTTTGCTTTCATGTTTGTTCTTTTACTTAGATCTCTTCTAACATCTTGTAATTGGATAAAATAAAAGGCATAGTACCATCTTCATACATCTACTGGCATTGGAGAAAAAGGGCACATCTTGTTCCTTCTTTTTGTCTGTTTGTTTACTAACTCAGGCCTTGAGCTTACTAGGCAAGTGCTTTGCCACTTAAGCTACACCTTCAGTGATTTTGTTCCTATCTTCCAAATGAAGATTTGTCATTATTTTTATAAAAATGCTTTGTCAAAGCCAGGCATTAGTGGTTCATGTCTGTAATCCTAGCTACGCAGGAGGCTGAGTCTTAGGATCATGGTTCAAAGGCAGCCCAGGCAGGAAAACCTATGAGATTTTTATCTCCAATTAACCACCAAAAAGCCAGAAGTAGAGCTGTGTGTCAAGTAGTACAGTATGATGGCCTTGAGCAAAGAAGCTCAGGGACAGCACTTGGCACTCAGGCCTTGAGTTCAAGCTCCCAGACTGTTAATTTATTTATTTATTTCCGGACTGTTATTTATGTGCACACACATACACGCACACAAATGCTTTGTCAAAAAGTGGAGGGTGGAGAGAAAAATGTAATGCTATGATAATTATATTGCAGGGATGAAAATACATTGAGGAATATTTTACTTAGAGAAGGAATAAGAGTAAAAGAGTTTTAAGTCATACTGAAGAAACACTGTTAATAGCTCATTAGTAGCGCTGCATTTCTCAAAGTGAAAATCTTTTCAGGAAAACAGTAGAAGAACTTTAGCAATGCTACCATTACCTCAGAATTGAGTTGAATTTCTCTCCCATTCTTTGTTTCTGCATTCTTTTGTTTGGTATTGTATTTCAATTTGCTTTGCACAATGAGACTTGATTGTTTAGCTCATCTTCTGACCTTTCTGAAACAAAATACTATTGTGCTTCTATTTGTAGCATGAATCTCTCTGGAAATGACCACTTGTTTTAGAAACCTCTATATTCTTCTGAGTAGAGTCATATTTTAGGGGAAAAGACATTACTGAACTGAAAATCTAAAGTTAAATCACAGTGTCTCTTTAAATATTAGGTCTAGACAAGCAATGGTAGCTCATGCATGTAATCCTCACTACTCAGGAGCCTGAGGTCTGGAAGATTACAATTCAGGGCCAGCTGGCATAGATGTTCAATAGACTCCATCTTCAAAATAATTAGCAAAAAGCAAGGCTGGAAGCATAGCTAAAGTGGTCGTGTGCCAGCATAGCATGTTTAAGTGCCTGAGTTCAGATATAAGTACCACAAAGCAAATAAAAATGAAAATAAAATATCTTACTCTAAACTTATAGATAGATACATAGATAGTTAGATTCTCAAACCTTCATGAAATCAGATCATCAGGGGAGTTTTAAAAAATATGAATTTCCTAGATTCCATGTAAATTTTATTATTAAATATCCTGGAAATCTGTTTTTTTTTAAGAAGCTTCCTAGATAGATAAGTAAGTAGGTAGGTAGGTAGATGGATAGATCGATAGATCGATAGATGACTTTGATCATCTTCTAGTTTTGGGGATACTGGTGTGGAATATGCAGTTAGATCATTGATTCAAGAACAGTTGCTTACTTAGGGGTCCACCTGAGGTAATATGGCCCTTATGCCGTCCATGTGCAGACTTCTAGTTTTAGTTTTGAATGGGTTTTTCTGTTTTTACACCCAAGTCACCACCAGCCCACACTTTCCCCCAATACCATTTTATGCCAAATCAGCCAGTGGTGCTAAAATTTGTTGGGGATTAAGTTGGGGGTGTCACCTTTGAAGAAAATTTCCTTTAAGAAATGTCCAGGTAGCCAGGTGCTGGCGGCTCACGCCTGTAATCCTAGCTACGCAGGAGGCTGAGGTCTTAGGATCATGGTTCAAAGCCAGCACTGGCAGGAAAGTCCGTGAGACTCTTATCTCCAATAAACCACTAGAAAACCAGAAGTGGCGCTTTGGCTCAAGTGGTAGAATGCTCACCTTGAACTGAAGAGCTCAGGGACAGCACCCAAGCCCAGAGTTCAAGCCCCAGGTCTGACCAAAAAAAAGAAAAGAAAAGAAATGTCCAGGTATTGCAGTATACCCCAATCCACTGCAGGGTGTCCTTGCCTTAGTACTCATGGGTATGCTTGGTAGTATATATAGTATGTGTGATTAAATGATTCAATAATAAAGTAGGTGATTAGGTCAACGTTTGAAGGAAGAGGAAGTACAAGTGACAAGGACAACACAGACCTACTGAGCAGTATTTATATTAACATAATTAAGAAATGTAAGCAGAAAGTACAAATGTATTTAATTAGAACAGTTTTCCTATGACTCTAGCTTATTTATCATTCTCTAATTATGCATTTTAAAAAGCTTAACAGAATGTGACTTCACTTCTAAGAAGACTTTAACATGTCATTGAGTACACACACCTTTCTCTGCTAGTGTGCCTTATGAGAAGATTTTTCTGATTATCTGTTATTGTGTAACCATTGGCCCAGCTCTGTAAACAAGCTCTTTTCGCCTGGCCTGCTGGTGGTTGGCTCTTCCCAAGTCTTTAGAACTCAGAAGAACTGCATGAAGTGGTAGTGAGGACACTTAGCCCTACTTGGTATCTCTGCCCCCAGAGTGCCTTACAGAAGTTAACTGGTCCAGCATCACTGTGAGGTAGGTAAGTAAATCTAAACTTGAAACCCAAAGTGCAAGGCTAAACAAATTGCCTAAGTCCTTGCAGGAGGTAAAGCATCTGCGAAGAGATTCGCACATAGGTCCCTGGCTCCCAGGCTTGGGTACAGAGGATCCTCTCTTCCTGTTCATCATTTGGTAGAAAATTTGTAATTTGATTTATTAAATGCTTGTCTTTCTTGTAAAAGAAGTTGATTCAGAAACTGTGAATTTTGTCCACTGTTTTGAGAGTCTAAAGGCCCTTTTGTCTTCTCATTTTAGAAGCTGCTAACCTGTGCCAAACCTCCACGGCTGCTACGACACCTGTGACTCTCACTACTCCATTCAATATAACATCCTCTGTGTCATCTGGGACTATGTCAAACCCAGTCACAGTGGCAGCTGCCATGAGCATGAGAAGTCCAGTAAATGTTTCAAGTGCAGTTAACATAACCAGCCCGATGAACATAGGACATCCTGTAACTATAACCAGCCCATTATCCATGACCTCTCCTTTAACACTCACTACCCCAGTCAACCTTCCCACTCCTGTCACTGCCCCAGTGAATATAGCACACCCTGTCACAATCACATCTCCAATGAATCTGCCCACGCCTATGACTTTAGCTGCCCCTCTCAATATAGCAATGAGGCCTGTAGAAAGCATGCCTTTCTTGCCCCAAGCTTTGCCTACGTCTCCGCCTTGGTAAACAGTATTATACAATTGAAATATGGGTTAAAGTAAATATTTGCCAGCAGCTTTTTTTAGTTGATTAAAACAAAAAGCAAATAATGAAATTGGGATATTTTATTATATTAGTTAATAAGACTATAGTAGTGTTTTCCTCCAATTTGGCTGGGATTATTCAAAGTAGGGTAATATGTAATTTATCACTGGACCACTTTAGTTTAATCAGAGATTCCTTTTAGCTGACAGCATTGCTTAAACAAGATAGTATTTGGCAGGATGAAATGCCAGAATTAAAACCTATCATAAAAAAGCAAAGCCCATTTCAAAATAAAAACAGCATTTACCATTTCTAATCCCAAGGAGTCATTTTATTCTAAACACTAGCAGAGCTCTTCATATTACAAGGTGGATGGCTGATTTTATACTGAAATTATAATCTGAAATCCACAGATTGAGAGCTAGTGTAGAATTGTCTGTGTTTATTATTTTTATGAGTAAGTACATGCATTGTAATAAAATGCATTTCAGAGAATATGCATTTTACCTTTGGGAATATGTTAATTTCAGGCAGCATTCCCTATGGGAAAGGTGATACCAGCTCTGATATGCAAAGCATATGATAATTTATCATTCTAACTTCAACATATAATAGGGATTGTGACCTGATATTTGGAGATGTAAATATTGCTCAGCATATTAATCCTGATGGAATATAGCACTGTAGTTGACTTTTTAAAAAAATTAAAAAACAAAAAAAAAATGTGTTTTTGATAAGAAAAGGCTGCACCTGACAGAGGAAAGTCAAGTGTGCAGACAGACAGGCTCCTAACAAATGGAGGCCAGTGGGACTCCTTTTCAGGAGCCAAGGAGTACTTTGGAACAGCTCATATATTGCTTTAATTTGGAAGACGCTGGAGGCACTGGGATGTGATATGCCCCTCTCTCTCCCAATCAGAGCCTGTTGATGTTACAACAGGGACAGATGTGTTAGATGCTCACTAGAGTTTATGTCTTATATTAAATTGTATACAGTTTTTATTCTAACCACTAACTAGGTAGTATGCCCCTTCAGAACAAGCAGCGTGTATCTTTTTATCCTCCTTCCGTTTAATCAAGTATTGTGCAGATTTGTTCATTCAACTGTGTAAATATGGACGTCACTTTTTTTTTTCTTTTAGAAAACATTTGTATCAGCTTTGTGGTGTTTTCAGGGAGACAACGCTCTGCACTCTCTGTGGAACCCAGCAATGATTGTGCATGTTGAGACATGTGCTTTTTATTTCTTAACAGGATGTTTTATCTCTGTACATAGGGTAGAAACCAAAAGCTAAGAAAACAGATACTCTACACCATCATGCCACACGTTAATGTTTTTGAAGCATTGTGTTTTGTGTTTTTTTAAAGAAGCTAACTAAAACCAAGACGCTGTGATTTTTTTTTTTAAGTTGCAATATGTTTTTTGTTTTTTTTTTCTTTTCATTTTTTTAATCTTGCAGTTAAGAGAAATGGAAATTAGTTGTGTTAATTCTGCAGAATGTTTTCAGGACTGACTATCAAACTGGGCGACTTCCGTTTATACCCCACTGTGTCAGTTCAAGCATCAAAATACCTTGCATCTGAAGCAGACTCTGAACATCAGGGACAGGTATCTATCTGTGTGTCATTATTCAAAACAGTTCTAGGGGGTTGAACTACATAGTAAAGAAAAATTAAATAAATAGTACCTAGTGTAAAATAATTTTATAAATGATCTTTTGTACTTTAGGACATTAAATTGTACAACTTTTGTATATATAAAAGCTTAGGAACTTTCTGTTTAGCAGGAAGGCAACACATTCCTACACTTTTAATGTATATGTTTGTTATAATGTCCATGTAAACATGCCCTATGTTTGTGCCTTTTAATTAGTTTGTCTCAATAAACAAAATGTAGAGAAAAATATGTAGCTATGACTTTGTTATAACTGTTCTTATCCACAGTACAAAAATGGTTTGTTTTTAATATGTAGAGCATTATGTGTGGACTACTGGCAGGACTCGTGTAGAAAAGGCCCAGGAGTAGCCCTGCTGAGGTCTGGATTGGGAAGGCACACGTTTGGAGGAAGCCTTCATATCTTTCCGTGCATATCCAAGACTGGGCTCTGGCTCTGCCTTCTGGGACCTATCATGTCTTTGGTAGGCTGGAAGTCACAATCCTTCATGATTCAGATAGCTCAGGCTTCCTCCACAGTGGCTAAAGGAGCAATCTTCAATAGGGGCAGGTGTGGGCCCTACCTGAAGGCTGGGAGTATGGTCGTCAGAATCTGAAAGTATTAGTTCTTTTTTTTTTTTTTTTAAAGATATATACTAGAAATGGTTGTTTTATCCATTCATTGTATGGTAAACAGGAGTGAGAGTTCATTGTATGACTTCGGTTAAAATGCTATTTTGTATGCATTCTTTATTCACTTAAGCTTGTCTGCAATAATAAAGCCACGTCGTGTCTTTTGGGGGGGAGAGAGTTGATGGCAGGATGATGGTGAGGCAGGCCATCGCAGAGGGGGCCAAACAGGTTGTCTGGTGACACTCTTTTAAGTCTTGGAACTGGAATTGAGTTGTGATGCTGATGAACTGAATCAACCAGGTGAAGGCATGATGATCACCACTCTATGGAAAAGCAGAATATGTTTTTCCCTTCTGGTTGTAACCTGGTTGAGAGCTTCCCCTTTATCAGATTGGCAGCTAAACAGTTGTATTAGATAATCCCCAAATCTGACATCCAGCCTGTTATGCTCTAGGGCTTGCTGCTTGGCCTGCATTTGCCTTTTATTCTGTATCCATTTCCCTCCTAAGGTGTGCTCCTAAATGAAGGTTTCTATGTAAGCAGATGATGATGATTCTACCTGTCAATACCAGCACTGTATTACTAACATGCAAAATACTGCAGATTTATTTTGACAAATTAAAAGTTAACCAGTCACAAACGCTATGATGGATTGCTTAATGCTGAAGCTTCATCAGTTCACTGTGATGATAGAAAAAACGAAGCACTACTTCTCAGGACAGGGCTGGAAACAGTGGGGAGGGCCAGTGCTGGGCTGTTTGGTATCTCCATACCATGCAAAAGACAGGTAGACAGGCACCAGGCTGACTAGAAGGGGCACTCTCCCTGCTGTACAACTCGGCTGACCACAAGTAAGCAATGTGCCAGGCATTGAGAAGCATGTTAACGATTGGGACATCAAGAGGCAGTTAAGGGAGATGTACCCAAAAGACAGTATCACTGAATAGCAAGGCAGTGAGTGACACTTTCCTGGAAAAGTTCTGGATATTTATATCTGTTTTTTTTTGTTTTTGTTTTTGTTTTTTGTGGGGCCTGAACTCTGGGCCTGGGAGCTGTCCCTCAGCTCTTCAGCTCAAGGCTAGCGCTGTACCACTTGAGCCACAGTGCCACTTCTGGCTTTTTTTTTTTTTTCCTGCTTATGTGGTGCTGAGGAATCAAACCCAGGGCCTCGGGCATGCAAGGCAAGCGCTCTACCACTGAGCCACGTTCCCAGCCCCTCTATATCTGTTTTATGTAGAATTGAGACCTTCCAAATTTTTCTGTGAAAATTGCTTTAGAATTTTGACTGAATACAGTTAGAGGGAAAGTGTGGTGTTTTTGTCCTAGGAACAAGGAAGAGTTTTCACTGAGGTATTAGTTAGCCTTTCCAGTCTCAGCTTCCAGACGTCTCAACAGGATCCTTCAATTTGGTCCTCTGGAGACACCTGGGTTCTGAAGTAGATTGGATAATTGACATTTCCACTTTAGTATTTTTTTTTCTTTGTCCTAGATTGGGACTTGAGCTCGGTATCTGACACTTTCCCTAACTGTTCTACCACCTGAGCCATGCCTCTGGCCTCTACTTTAGTATTCGTTATGACCACTGGACAGAAAGAGTCTTATAGCTTGAAAGAATATTGGGTCTATAAATCACTGGGGAGTGCCGGACTGCCCTTGGCAGGTAACTGGATCATCTTTGCTGAGGCCAACAGCTCGGAGTGCAATGATCCAGGGCTGAGTTTGGGTAGTAGTACAGATTCCAGCTTCTCTTGGCAGCCACCTATGGGCAATCGAAAGCCCTTTAGTTACCAAGAGAGGAATGGAGAGTGAAGGAACTTAGGTCTTTGTGTGAGCTAGCTTTCTCAGACCTACTCAGTCTGAGTTGACTAGTTTTCTTCCCCCAAGATGGGCACTTGGTTTGGCTCTTGCCGATGGTCCATGCATATCACAGGAATATATCACCACTGACTACATCATCATTTCAGAAATTTTCTTCATCCCTGACTATCCACCTTCTTCCCAGACCCTATATATCTCTGAAAAGGGCACAGTGTGAAGAAGTTAACTGTTAACTACTTAGGAAGGATTCTCTCCCCTGATCATGTAAATTTGCATTGTTGAATCAGGCTTCCTCAAAGTGAAACTCACCTGCATTTAGCTGAGTCAGCCCAAGCTAAAGATGGGTGTTTGAGGAAAACATTCTGTTCTTTTCAGCAAGCTATTCCTTTGGCATGAAAGCTGAAGAGTTGGAGGAGAACAAGGAGAAGGGGAGGAACATGCCCTTTCAGTAACAGGTCTAGCAATTCAGTTTGTCTGTCAATGCCCAGGTCCACAGCTGGGGCAAACATCTACTTTAGAAGCTGTTCATAGAGATGAAAGTCAGCTTCAGAAACTGGGATGAAAAGTAAGACCTTTATCAATCCAAAGGACAGTTGAAGGCTACCAGAGCCTTTTCTGCCAGGGTCACTACAGAGTCAACCAGATTCAAAGGTATGACTTGACTTGGATCCTCCAAGTCCCATGCTCTGAAGCCCAAACATTCCTGTCTTTGTTAGTGGTGGGAAAAGAGCCAGAGAGAAATCAGTTCTGCATGTGGAAGTAGGGGGAGAAGTCTGTGACGTTGCAAAGAGGCTAAGGAAAAAGAGTCAGATTTTGGAGACAATATCCTTGTGTTACCTATGGTATCACCCCCAACCCTTCTCCTGCTATGGGCTGGACATTATTCAGAGGACTCATAGGCTACTAGCCTATGATCATTTCAGCTTCTGTTAATAGGTAGAAAAGATGTGCTCTGTTTGTCCAGATAAAGACAACATCAATAACTGAAGAAAAAGGCAAAATCCAATTGATTAGGACAGAATCCTTCTGCAGGAAGAACCCACAAGTCACTTTCTGCTGGAAGAGAGGGACCTATTCCCTCCTGGGATCCTATCCCAAGAATGCAGGCTCTGGTTTCAGAGTGGCCCTGTCCACAACAAGAGAGTTCTGTCACCTTGTCAACAACAGAGGTCCTGGATCCTTAGGGATCTCTGAGGGAGAAGAATTGGGGAAAGGGGGAGGGGATGTCTTTGGAAAGAGAAAAAGGAGACAGCAATTGCTTATGCTGTTCTCTTGGCTTAAAATGCCTTGCCATAAACAGCCCTCCAACATATTTCCTCCACTGTGAATCCTAGTTATCCAGCAAAGTCCACTTTAAATGTTGCTCCCTTTGAAACTGCAGACCGTTGGTTCATTCCTCCTTGGATGACTTGGAGGATGTTAAAAGTAGAAGTCCAGCACTCTAAGGGTGGGAGGCTAGTTCCTAAATTGAATGGTAGGTTTTAAAAAGGTTGCTACATCCCTAAAATCTCTCATCCCAAATTCGTGGAGGCTATGAGAGCTGTGATTTCTGCTGACTGTCAGCTGTGTAGATGAGTCTCAATGTCCAGGAGACTTGAAATACACCCACCAAGGCATAAATGATCCTACACAAAGGTGAGTGAGAATGACCTCAAGAGGATCCAAAGTGGCAGAACACTTGACAGAAGAGACAGATCAGGGAGCAGGGAAATCACAATGCAATGTGTACTCAACAGTAGAGGCTTGGAATCTGATAGCATGAATGTAGTATATAGTCCCTCCTATTTTTCTTTTTTCTTCCTTCCTTCTTTTCTTTCTCCCTCTTTCTCTTTCTCTTTCCTTCCTTTCTTTCCTTCTTTCTCTTTCCTTCTTTCCTTCCTTCCCTCCCTCCCTCCTTTCTTTCTTCCCTTCTTTCTTTCTTCCTTCCTTTCTTTCTTTCCTTCTGCCTTTCCCTGTTGCCAGTCCTAGGGCTTAAACTCAGGCCCTGGGCACTGTCCTTGAGGTTCTTTTGCTCAAGACTAGCACTCTGGCTGGGCGCCGGTGGCTGGTGCCTATAATCCTACCTACTCAGGAGGCTGAGATCTGAGGATTACTGTTCAAAGCCAGTCAAGGCAGGAAAGTCAATGAGACTCTTATCTTCAATAAACCACTCAGAAAACCAGAAGTGGTGCTGTGGCTCAAGTGGTGGAGCACCAGCCTTGAGCTAAAGAGCTGAGGGACAGTGCCCACTGAGGGACAATGCCCACGCCCAGAGTTCAAGCCCTATGACTAACAAAAAAAAAAAAAACCTAGCACTCTACCACTTGAACCCACAGCACCATCTCTGGCTCTATCATTTGAGCCACACTTGCACTTTTTTTTTTCTTTTTTTTGGGTCCAGTAGTGGGGCCTGAACTCTGGGCCTGGGCAGTGTCCCTCAGCTTTTCAGCTCAAGGCTAGTGCTCTACCACTTGAGCCACAGCACCACTTCTGGCTTTTTTCTTTTTGCTTATGTGGTGCTGAGGAATCGAACCCAGGGCCTTGAGCATGCAAGGCAAGCGCTCTACCACTGAGCCACCTTCCCAGCCCTTGTTTTTTTCTTAAAAAAAAAAAAAAGTGCCGGGTGGCTCACGCCTGTAATCTTAGCTACTCAGGAGGCTGAGATCTGAGGATCTCAGTTCAAAGCCAGCCCCCAGCCCGGGCAGGAGAGACCATGAGACTCCTATCTCCAATAAACCACCAGAAAACGAAGTGGCGCTGTAGCTCAAGTGGTAGAGTGCTCGCCTTGAGCTGAAGAGCTGAGGGGCAGCGCCCAGGCCCAGAGTTCAAGCCCCACGACCGACAAAAAAAAAAAAAAAAGATACCTGGTGATTGGGTGCTGGTGGCTCATGCTTGTAATCCTAGCTACACAGAAGGCTGAGATCTGAGGATCACAGTTCAAAGCCAGCTCAGGCAGGAAAGTCTGTGAGACTCGTATCTCTAATAAACCATCAGAAAATTGGAAGTGGCACTGTGGCTCAAGTGGTAGAGTGCTCACCTTGAGCTGAAGAGCTGAGGGACAGCAGCCAGACTCAGAGTTCAAGTCCCATAACTGACAAAAAAAAAAACAAAAAAAAACAAAAAACAAAAAAACCCAAACCTGGTGAGTGAAGATACCACCAGTTTATTCTTTAGAAAAACAATTGCTACCACTAAGGCAGGCA